CTAAACAAATTTTTCCAATGGTCTGAAAAATGGCAGATGAAATTCAATGTCGACAAATGTAAAGTACTCAGTATAGGAGATGTAAACAGGGAAACCAGATACCAGATGAACAACGATGCCATAGAGAAATCCGACTGCGAGAGAGATTTAGGAGTAATGATAAGTAGGAACCTTAAGCCAAGTAAACAATGTGTTTTTGCTCGTAACAAGGCTAATAAAGTACTTGGGTTCATACAAAGGAGTGTTAGTTACAAGACTAGCGAGGTCATCCTAAAACTGTATCTTGCTCTTGTGAGACCGCACCTGGATTACGCAGTTCAGTTCTGGTCACCGTATTACAGAATGGATATAGAATCCTTGGAAAGAATTCAGAGGAGAATGACAAGACTAATCCCGGGCATTAGGAACCTTGAGTATAGAGACAGGTTAAAGCATCTTAATTTGCACTCCCTCGAGAGACGTAGAGCGAGGGGCGACCTGATAGAGGTGTATAAGTGGAAGGCAGGGCTAAACAAAGGGGACATTACAAAGGTACTCAAACTATCCAACCAGGAGCGAACTCGTAACAATGGTTTTAAATTAGACAAATTTAGATTTAGGCGTGAAATAGGTAAACACTGGTTTGGAAACAGAGTAGTGGATGAATGGAACAAGTTACCAAATATCATCATTAACTCGAATACGCTGAATTGCTTCAAACATAGGTTGGATGCTCATATGAGCAATAGGGGTTGGGTGTAAACGGGACTGCCCAGTATGGGCCAATAGGCCCGCTGCAGTTTCCTCCATTCTTATGTTCTTATGTTCTTATGTGCGGAGAATAATGAATAACAGGGTATGCGTGGGATTTCGGGGGCGGTCCCCCGAGGGCAATCACTTCAGGTAGAAAATCCAGCCAGGGAGAAGGAGGCAAACCAACAGTAGGGGTGACAACAATATCAGGCAGGAGGTCTTGTTCCTGAAGGGCTCGGATGAGTGACCCTCGCTACTGTCTTCTAGATGGAGGTCAGCCTCGGATAGCAGAAGTCAAGTTGGCTTGGACATAGTTGCCTCGGGGATCCAGTAGAATGGAAACGGTAGTTTTCAGGTAAAACTCCGGGATACAATCCTGTAAGGGGGAAAGACCAAGTTCGGTATATAGAGAAGTAGAGCGTGTCCACTGAGGAGCCCCAAGGATGATACGAGCAGCTTTCCTCTGGATGACTTCGAGACGGTTGACAGCAGTCCGACTAATGTTGACGAGGGCAGGGGCGGTGTAGTCGACACAGGAGCGGACAAAGGACTTGTACATGGTGAGAAGTTCAGGGATGGTGGCACCAAGGGAACCCCTGCACATGGTAGAGAGGGGAGCAAGACGCCGAAAGCATATGTCTCAAAGACAGCGGACTTCGGGGATCTGACATGTGCGAGTTACATGAACACCCAGGTATTTTGTGCCATTAACCCAGTCCAAGGGCGTTCCTGATAAGAGAAGGGGGGGGGTGGTACAATACAACCGTGCCACACGGCTTTTGTTTTCGCAATTGAAAGAAGGAAACCAAGTGAATCACACTTTCTGGAGACCAGATCAAGGGCTTCCTGCATACTGAGGTAGTCAGGGGCTTGGAGGAGGATATCGTCGGCATATCCTGAGTGAACAACTTCTGTCGGCCACGGGAGAGATGCAATGGAATGCATGAGTGCTAAACAAGGTGGGACTCAAGACTTCACCTTGAGGGATGCCGAGGTCCATTTCTTGAACAGGAGATATACAGCCTTTAACGCAAACCCGGGCCTGACGTCCAGCGAGGTCAAAGGCGATCCATCGAAGAAATCGCCCTTTAACCCTTAACAGCGCAAGTTCAGCTAAAATGAGGGCAGGCTGAGCCGTATCAAAGGCTCCCTAGATATCAAGGAAGACGGAGACGTGAGCAGTCTGATTACAATAAAAGGAAGCAATGGAGTGTGCTGTGCTGCGATGTTGTATGAAACCATTGAGGGAGTTGTGGAAGCCGCCTATGGTGTGAAGAAGGCAACGGTGGAGTATCCTCTCCATCATCTTGCAAACACAGGAGGTAAGACTAATGGGTCGATATTTCCCAGGATTTCCCGGCTTAGGGATGGGGATAATAGTGGCATTTTTCCAGTTGGACGGGAGAACCCCGTGTTCATAAGACATATTGTAGAGCGAGCAAGGGGCCGATAGAAATATCAGTACAGGCGTTGAGGGAGGGGTAGGTTATCTGGTCATCCCCAGGAGAGGTGTCTTTTCCAGAGCGATGAGCACTGTCAAGCTCGAACTGTGTGATGAGATGATCAGTGGGGGCAGGGGAGGTAAGAACAGCACGAACAACAGGCTCAGACGCATCGATGCGAGCCTGCACTGCCTCCTGCAAAAGATCTGGAAGTGCCTCAGGGGAGGAAGCTTGTGCCCAGTCCTCTATTAAAGAGCAGGCAATGGAGGAGCGGTCAGGGTGGGGAGGAGGCCTCCGTCGAGTACCCTATAACATTAATCCGATTCCAGACATAGGAGGGTGATGACTGGAACAATAGAGACCCCGTGAAGGATAGCCAGTCTGCCTCACGAACCCGACAACGCTCCTGAGTTGCAAAGGAGCGCAAGTTTTTTAAGTCTTCCCAGTTCTCTGGAGAGCGAGACCTCCGTATAGCAGAGTGCAGATCACAGTTACCTGCCGGAGATGTCTCATGGCAGGGATACGATACCATAGTTGGTGGTACTTCTGGGGTGATGGGGAAGGCGTGGAGGGGCAGCGCGATTGACAGTCATGCACGGCACAAGAGTGAGGAGGCCATGAGTCAGTCCACAGGACCGACGCAGGGTGTAAACTGTTTAGCCAGAGAGGCGGAGTGGAGTAACATCGTCTGTGATAGTTTCCTGAAGTAGAGCGACATCTACTTGATGGGAGAGCACAAACTGGGCGAGGTCTGTCCGGCGAGGTCTAAATCCCTGGATGTTCCATTGTCAGAAGAGGAGGGAGCGGCCTCCGGCTGTGAGATGAAGAGTCAGTGGAGATAGACGGGGCTCCTGAGGAGGTATCATATTCTGTTGAGGATATTGGAGATGGAGGAGTGGGGAAGCGAGGGATGGATCCTCCATCTCGGGAGAAGGAAGGAGGCGGGTCACCAGGGCTTGCAAAGTGCACACCTGTTGGCTCAGGGTGTTCAGAATGAGTTGTTGTTGCCTCTGCACAGTTGCAAACGAGGTGAGTTGGGCAGAGAAAAGGTTGACTTGCTTGGAGTGGTGATCCAGACTGAAAGTGATTGTTTCCATAGAACCAACCCGGTGTACCTGTGCAGGAGCTGGAGGTGGCGGCAAGGAATGGCGAGGGCCCGCCTGGACAGGAGGTGGTGGTGGTGGTGACGGAGAGGGATGGTGAGGGTTCAGGCGAGCAAGAGGTGGTGGTGCTGGTGAGAGACAGCTGGGGTCCAGGTGGGCAGGAGGTGGTGGTGACTGTATGGCAGGGACAGCAATGACCTCATTCCAAGAATGGTAGAGAGAGGGAGGAAGGGAAGAAAGGATGGGTAGTAGGGTCATAGGAGGGATGGTAGGGGAGAGGAAATCAATGGAAAATCCTTGGTGAATGGAAAAGGCGGTGGTGGAGAGGAGTGAGGTTTGGTTGGCAGGGGCTTCGTCAGAGACGAGGGTGGTGGAACAAGGTAAGTTTTCCCTGGGCGAGTGCCAGAATGCTGTGGGCAGTTGGCATTCCAGGCGTGGTGACTGCCATGGCAATTGACACACCATGGAACAGCTGGGATTTTGTTCTGAATTTTCGATTTGCATTCCACTGTGTTGTGGGGACCGGCACAGAAACCGCAGGCAACCATGCTCATGCACTCCCAGGTGCGGCGTTTCCACGATTGCCAACGACCACAGATTTTCAGGGTTCCGATAAATCAGTCGAGAGGACAGTTGTGAATTGGTCTTACATTCACCTTCGGGGGGAGGGGGCCCACCCACCTGCCGGTGAGTTCGTTGGATGGACGTTTGGAGACCAGGTTGATGCGGCGCTCCATGTCCAGTAGTTGTGGGAGAAGAGGGCGAAGACCGTCGACAGGGATCTCTCAGGGTACGTGGCGAACCATTACCTTGGTACAACGAGTTTCTGGGGTGATGGTGGTGAACTTCAGCATCACCTCCCCCTGGGGAGCAGGAAAGGTCACTTGAGTGAGTAGGAGTACCGTCTCGTCCATTTGTGTGGTGACAATTATGGCTGTAGAACCTCGGCGAAGGTGAAGTGTTGAGTCCTGAAGTGGAGAGCAGTGACGGAAGAACCAGGTCATCCGTATGCTCAGAGGCAAGTACCGAGGAATGGCGAGAAGACGAAAGCCACAAGTAAGTTCACTTGGGGACCCCGATGATAGGAGGTGGTCACCCTCTACAACCCCAGACAAAGTGCTTCTTAGACTTGTCCTCAAGATGAAACTCTTCAGCATCACTGTCACCTATTGCCGCCGTTTCCAACGAACAGGAGCATTTAACGGCAGGCATGGGGCAATTTGGCAACACTGCAGTCAGGTAGATAGTTGGCTTGTTTGAGGTGGAGTGGTAAAGCCGTCACTGCTACGTCACACTTCACATTGCACAAACTTAAAAATCTTCAACCAGAGGGACCAGGTGGTAAGACCAGATGTTTTATTAAAAAAATGACAAAGTTCAAAACTTCAAAAAGCGTAGATGCCACTGTGCTGTTAACTAGGTCTTACTATACAAAGTGGGATTAGTAGACTCGCTGAATTCGTCAGAAATAGGACTTTTAAAGAGCAGTCTCTTACAGCCTTTGTTGACACCCACGGCACGCCTGCCTTCTAAAACTGTTTTATTTACATTTTTCACTTCATACGCAAAACTCTGAGTGTTAACAGTGAATGTTGCAAAAAATAAAAAATATTTACAAGAAGGAAAACCCCCCTTCTTTCTTCCATTCCATTGCTCCCAAGTGCAAACAGAAATGAATTTCTGTACAACAACTACAAAAAAACTTGGATTTTAAGTACAGGTAAAGAGAAAATATCAATAAATTAGTGAAAGTTGAACTTACCGATAACAAAGGGCTCAACTAGCTGCCCTTGACAATCATACCATGGAGGTCTACCAGCTGTGTAAATGGTACGTCTTCGACCCCGCAAGATTGGCTCTCTGATGCGGGAAGTTTGTGACTGAGATGTTGAGCGCTGTCTGCGGGATCTTGGAGATCTCAAGGCACCTACAGCAAAATGTGAAGAACATATATTTTTAGAAAAATTAAATAGTCATGAGAACCAAATTACATTGAATGTACACTCGCTCTAAAAATACTTCCATAGTGGGGTCTGATGAATTTCAAAATGAACACAACGACTCCTGTTCTATCAGTAGCACTGTCAAAATCCTACATCCGTCATGTCATTATGACTAACACAAAATCTTAATAGATACAGTAATACCCCGATTTACGCAGTCAATTGAACCCGCGGAGGTCCGCGTAAAATGAGAAACGCATAAATGGAATAACAGAACATATAGGATTAATTGAAATAGAGATTGGGCCGACCCCCAGACTCCACTTTTTCGGACACAATATCGACACAATACCTATGTTGTAGTAAAAATATCATCTTAATTTTATGATGTTATGCACACAATTAATATTTAAGAGAAATACAGTCGCCAAGTTAATGTCCATTCAAATAATGGACTCAACTCCCTCCTCCCCCCTTCCCCTCGCTTGCTCCTACCTCTCTGAGAAATGTTTGGGTGAAAACACTAGATTTTAAGGTATAGTAATAAATAATACCTCAGACTAAAGTTAGGATAATATAATTGACATTGCTGGATTCCTTGCAAGACCAGGAATATTTTGAATATACACGTCATATATTTTGCACAAAAGATAACACATTTGCTCTGTGTAAACAAATTTCTTGCATTAGATCTAAAATTTGTATGTCTAATGAAAAACCCATGATGTTTTCATTCAAAATGATCATCATATTGTAAGAATTCCAGCACTGTAAATTATATTCTGGCCGGGTAATTTGTATGAATTTTATTAGCTAAAACAAATTTCTTCAGTAAATAAAAAAAATATACTTCACCCAGACACTATCTGTCAATCAAAATACCCCACCTCATGCTCCCCCCTCTTCCCACGCTTGCTGAGTCCCTCCTCCCTCCCTCCCTACCCCCCACCTTCCCTCCCTACCAGAGAAATGTTTGGGTTAAAACAGTATATTTACATTTTTAGTAATATACAATACCTCAGACTCAAGTTCGGATAATATAATTGACATTGCTGGATTCCTTGCAAGACCAGGAATATTTTGAATATACACGTCATATATTTTGCACAAAAGATAACATATTTGCTCTGTGTAAACAAAATTCTTGCATTAGATCTAAAATTTGTATGTCTAATGCAAAAATGATCATCATATTGTAAGAATTCCAGCAATGTAAATTACAGTTGTACCCCACTTAACGCGGTCAATTGAACCCAGAGGGTCCCGCGTTAAGTGAAATCCGCGTTAAGTGAACAACAGAACATATGGGATTAATTCCAATAGAAACCGGTCCGACCCCCAAACTCCACTTTTTGAAGGCACATACCTATGTTGTAGTAAAAATAACATCTTAATTTTATGATGGTACATGCACACAATTAATACTTAAGAGAAATAGAGAAATACAGTCGCCAAGTTAATGTCCATTCAAATAATGGACTCAACTCCCTCCCCCTCTTCTCACACTACACTCACTGGCTCTTCCCTCTCAGAGAAATTTTTGGGGGAAAACCACTAAATTTTAATAAATAATACCTCAAACTAAAGTTAGGATAATACAATTGACATTGCTGGATTCCTTGTAAGACCAGGAATATTTTGAATATAAATGTCATATATTTTGCACAAAAGATAACATAGTTAATTTGAGAAAAAATTTTATCTAAAATTTGTATGTCTAATGCAAAAATATGATGTTTATATTCAAAATGATCATCAAATTATAAGAATTCCAGCAATGTAAATTATATTCAGACCGGATAATTTGTATGAATTTTATGAGCTAAAACAAATATCTTCAGTTAATAAAAAAAAAAAATAATTCTTCACTGGGTAACAGATGGTCGGTCGGTCCCTCCCTCCCCCCCACCCCCCACCAACCGTCCCAAGGAGATGTGTGGGATAACCACTAAATTTTAATAAATAATACCTCAAACTAAAGTTAGGATAATATAATTGACATTGCTGGATTCCTTGTAAGACCAGGAATATTTTGAATATAAATGTCATATATTTTGCACAAAAGATAACATAGTTAATTTGAGAAAAATTTTTATCTAAAATTTGTATGTCTAATGCAAAAATATGATGTTTATATTCAAAATGATCATCAAATTATAAGAATTCCAGCAATGTAAATTATATTCAGACCGGGTAATTTGTATGAATTTTATGAGCTAAAACAAATATCTTCAGTTAATAAAAAAAAAAATAATCTTCACAACACTATCTGTCAATCAAAGTACCCCACCTTGCCTCCCCCCCTCTTCCAACCGCGCGGTCAGTCCCAACCCTCCCCCCCACCCCCCACCAATCCTCCCTTCCAGGGTTTTTAACATTTAGTATTAAATAATACCTCAGATTAAAGTTAGGATAATATAATTGACATTGCTGGATTCCTTGTAAGACCAGGAATATTTTGAATATAAATGTCATATATTTTGCACAAAAGATAACATAGTTAATTTGAGAAAAATTTTTATCTAAAATTTGTATGTCTAATGCAAAAATATGATGTTTATATTCAAAATGATCATCAAATTATAAGAATTCCAGCAATGTAAATTATATTCAGACCGGATAATTTGTATGAATTTTATGAGCTAAAACAAATATCTTCAGTTAATAAAAAAAAATAATAATTCTTCACTGGGTAACAGATGGTCGGTCGGTCCCTCCCTCCCCCCCACCCCCCACCAACCGTCCCAAGGAGATGTGTGGGATAACCACTAAATTTTAATAAATAATACCTCAAACTAAAGTTAGGATAATATAATTGACATTGCTGGATTCCTTGTAAGACCAGGAATATTTTGAATATAAATGTCATATATTTTGCACAAAAGATAACATAGTTAATTTGAGAAAAATTTTTATCTAAAATTTGTATGTCTAATGCAAAAATATGATGTTTATATTCAAAATGATCACCAAATTATAAGAATTCCAGCAATGTAAATTATATTCTGGCCGGGTAATTTGTATGAATTTTATGAGCTAAAACAGGCAGTCAGGCAGGGTGGGGCAAATCTAAAAATAGCGTCTGGAGCCGGACACTCACCGCGTATATGTGGAAAAAATCCGTGTTAAGTGAAAGTTCAGCTCTGGCGAGGCACCGCGTATATGATAAAACGCGTTAAGTGAAACCGCGTTAGGCGGGGTAATACTGTATATTCTGGCCGGGTAATTTGTATGAATTTTATGAGCTAAATAAAAAAATTATACTTCACCCGCGTATATGAGTAGATGCACCGCGTAAAGTGGGAATTCCGGTTCTGGCAGGGTACCGCGTAAATGTAGAAACGCGTAAACCAGAACCGCGTAAAGCGGGGTATTACTGTACAGTAATATCTCCGTTAGCCAGAATCCCTCAAACCCACAACTCTCCGATAACCAGAATTGAAATTTTCTCGGAAAATTGCTCCCAAAGACGGAATTTTCCAAAAAATTCCGGCTTTGGGAATAGTTTTCCGAGGGGCACATGTTCCGGAAAATTCCGAAAAAAATTTCCCGGTACCTGTAACATTCCAGAAAATTACGGGGATGGGGAGTTTTTTTCCGATTTTGAAAGATGAAATTCAGGCACATTTTCTGGAAATTCCGAGAAAATTTTTCTGGGTAACTGAAAATTCTGGGGATGAGGGATTTTATTTCCGGGTTCGAGAGATGGTGTACCAAAAATGGACCAAAGCAGCACACGCATGACTCACTGCTGTTGTACTATGCAGGCACACCAATGGAGTGGATATTGGAGGACCTCTGCCACTCACTGCAGATGGGAATAGGTACACCTGTGTGGCCATGGATTACTTAATTAAGTGGCTAGAAGCTTATGCCATCCCAAATCAGGAAACCACAACTGTTGCCAGGATGCTAGTTAACCAGTTCTTCTGCCTGTTTGGTGTGCCCCACGAGTTGCACTCGGACCAGGGCAAAAACTTTGAGTCAGCTGTGTTCAGCAAGTGCTGTAAACTGTTGGGCATAAGGAAGACTAGGGCCACTCCACCTTGGCCACAGTCAGACAGAATGGTGGAAAAGTTTAATTAGACCTTGGACAAGAACTGGCAAAGTACTGTGCTGAGGAACAGACAGAATGAGACTAGAAGCTGCCTGCTCTGCTGCTGATAGCATATTGGTCTACTGCCCACGAGTCAACTGGATACACACCTGCAAATTTGATGCTGGGTCACAAACTGTAGCTACCAGTGGACCTGCTGACAGTAAGACCACCTGATGAAGAACTACCTGAAGAAACCACCAGTTATGTCAAAAGCCTCCAAGCAAGGTTGATGGAGGTCTATCATCATATCCGAGGAGCTCTTTAATTCTCAGGTGGAGTGAAGAAGCGCAACCATTATGTCAAAGGAAGCCAAGTCTGTTAAAAGGATGGTGATAAGGTCTGGCTGTATAACCCTCTGTGGAAGAAAGGTCAGTCACCTAATTTACAGAGTACATGGGAAACACCATACACTGTAGTGGAACGCCTTTCAGATGTGACCTACCGGATCAGGGAAGGAAGGAAGGCTCAGCCAAAGGTAGTCCATGTCAATTGTCTGTGGCAGTATCATGGGCCAAGGCAGTGCACCTGGGAAGACTCTGAGGAGCGTCACCTACCACCAACGAGAACCAGACCGGAGATTCTGGAAGAACTAGGGGCCATACCGATCTGAGAACCCGACCATGGACCAGGAAGAGGAGCACTGTTCCCTCTCAGTGGAATTAGACGTGACAGGAGAGAGGACTGAGGTTGTTGTATCAAGAGAGGACTCTGAAGACATCCCTGTACATCATCAGCAGCAGCAGGAGAAGAGGCCAACAAAGTTTTGGGATTATAATGTATACTGTATAGTGAATACCGTATTTTTCGGCTTAAAAGACGCACTTTTTATGACAAAAATATATCTCGAAAATTACCCTGCGTCTTCCAGGATGCTAGTCGATGAGT